TGTCTGAGCAAATCAATTTTAGTTTCTTCATAGTCCTCCATCTGTCTTTTAACATGACACTTGTTCGGTTGTTGAATTTATAATGTGATAGTATTTTAGACCAGTTTCCCTCTCCATACTTCCTCACACCAGATCTCAAATTCTTGTCTTCTTCCCAAAGCCATGCCTTTTAAAAAAAGTAGAAGAGTTATTTCTAAATGATTCTGTAAGAACAGCACACTGTTTAAAAAAGAACTGTTTTTTGTTAAAATAATACTTACAGTCTCTTAAAGATGGAAGAATTTCTCTATATATTTCTTACAAAACTTATCTTCATCATTAAACATTTTAAGGGTAATTATTATTGCTGCTCATTCTATATAAGCTCTAGGACAGCTAGAAAGCAACAGAGCTACTTGGTTTCTAGCCAAACCAATCTGTCCAACTTAAGGTACATTATTTCTTATGATGTTTTTATATATTATTCCACAGCTCTAAACAGAGTTTATAAATGTTTAGTACTTCATTTACAAACTCAGTAAAAATCCTATTCTTCCAAAATTGAGGGAAGTATATGTGTGTGTATGTGTGTGTATATAATAAATTTTTAAAAATACAATTTAGGGCTGGGGTTGTGGTTCAGTGGTAGAGCACTTGCCTAGCACGTGTGAGGCCCTGGGTTCGATTCTCAGCACTGCATATAAATAAGCAAAATAAAGGTCTATTGAAGAAAAAAAAAATTTAAGAAATAAAAAATTTTAAAAAATACAATTTACCTGGGCACAGTGGCACATAGCTATAATCCAAGCAATATGGAGGCTGGGGTAGAAGGATCCCAAATTGGGGGGCCAGCTTCAGAAAATTAAGGAGGCCCACAGCAATTTAGTAAGACCCTGTCTCAAAAAATAAAAAGGGCTGGGAATGTTGTTCAGTAGTAAAGTGCTCTTGGGTTCAACAACTGCCATAAACCCAAGACAAAACAAAATTTAAAACATTTAGGGCATTTTGGAAGAAAATGATAACATTTTAAAAATAAAATTGAATACCATACATACAAAAATCACTGACATTTGGCATTTGCTACAGGCGACTAATTAGTCCTTATGGTGGCAAGAAGAGTTTGATCATCTGTTATTATTTAATTTTACCAGACTATGTGGGAAATATCCAAGAAGACTTCTGCGTTTTTAGACTTACTTTTTGGGGGAAGGGGAGTGGCGTGGGGGTATGGGGCTAACTGGGGATTGAACCCAGGGGTGCTTAAACCCTGTGTTACATTTCCAGCTCTTTTATTATTTATTTTGAGACAGGGCCTAGTTGCTGAGGCTGACCCTGAATTTGTAATCCTCCTGCCTCAGCCTCCAGAGCCACTGGGATTACAGGTGTGTACACTACACCTGGTTAGACTTCCATATTTTAAAAGAAAATCTAGTTTATCATCTTGACTTATTTGGATGAGGGGAAAAAAGTGAACTCATGTGCATTATTGATTGGAATATAAAATGATATAGCCACTATAAAAAACAATATGGCAGTTCCTAAAAAAATTTATAAATAAAACTACCACATGATCCAATGAATGATTCTAATTCTAGGCATATACTCAAAAGAAACGAAAGGAAGGACTCAGAAGAGATATTCATGTTCATAGAAGCATTATTCATAACAAGTAAAATGTGGAAGCAACTTAAGTGCCTATCAATTGACAAATGGATAAAAGTAAGATGTGGTGTATAGATATAATAGAATATTACTAATTCTTAAAAAGGAAGGAAATTCTAACGTATGCTACAACATGAATGAACATGGAACAACATACCAAGTGAAGTAATTTAGACACAAAAGGCTGAGTATTACATGATTCCACTGATATGAGGTGCCTAGAACAGTCAAATTCAAATATAGTTGAATGGTAGTCGCTGGCAGAGGAGGGCAAGGATTAATGGAGAGTTACTATTTAATGAGTAGTACAGTTTTAGTACACTTTGAAAGTCACAGCCTAGGACATAGGCTCACTAAAGAATGAGACCTATACACAGAACTTTTGAATGCTTCTTCCTGTCTCACAACATTTAATCAGGAGCCTATATAACACAGGATTTCAACTAAAAGAGGTGCCTTAGATCTCTATTAAGGAGCCTCAAGAGAAATCCAAAGGTAACTAGAGACAAAAATAAGGACACTGGAGGAAAATTTAGCCTCCACACCAATAGCTACAGCAAACTTAGTAAAGCACAGCCTAACTCCAAGCTAGACAAACATAAAACCTCATAATAAGCTGGGCGTGGTGGCACACACCTGTAATCCCAGCATCTCAGGAGGCCAAGACAGGAGGAGGATCAGGAGTTCAAAGGCAACTTCAGCAAAAGCAAGGTGCTAAGTAAATCAGTAAGACCCTGTCCCTAAATAAAATACAAAATAGAACTGGGAATGTGGCTCAGTGGTGTGGAGTGCCCCTGAGCTCAATCCCCATTACCAAAAAAATAAAAAAACAAAACAAAACAAAAAACCAAACCTCACACCAAAGGCAACATGCAATAAAGATCCAGCTATCAACAAAAATTGCAAGCATGTTAAAAGGCAAAACAATTTCTGAAGAGATGAAGCAAGCATCAGAACACTCTCAAGCAGATAATCACAGAAATTGTCAGGCTTGGAATTTACAATGATTATGATTAATAAATCAGGGCCTCTGAGAGAAAACCAGACCACATGGAAGTACAGAGGGGCAAATGTAAGCACAGATAGGAAACCTATGAAAGAATCAAAGGAAAATGCTAAAACCAACAACACAGTAACAAAATTGAATTGTCTTTTGTGAATTCTTTAATAGACTAGACAGAGCTAAGGAATCAGTGAAGAGAAACTTCTCAAATCAAAAAGCAAAGAGGGAAAAAAAAAAAGAATAAAAAAACGGGAAAAATTTTCCAAGAACTTCAGAAAAATCACAAAAGATGTAACATATTTATAATGGGAACACCAGAAAAAAAGAGGAATAGGAGATTTGATGTAAAAGTGACTGAGATTTCTCAAGAACTAATGACAAAGAACAAAATACAGACTGAGGAATCTTAGAGAACACCAAGCAGGGTAAATGACAAAATATTGATATTTATATACATCAATTTCAACTGCAAAAAGAAAATCAAGCATAAAATTACTTATGACTTGTGGTCATATACAGTGGTATAAAGTCCGTATTTCTCCCTCTGAAAATTCACCCAAAGTAACAAGGAAATAAACAAAATCCCAAATTCTGAAGAACAGAATCTAAAACAAAGTGTGTTTGGGGGGGGGGTGATTTTTTTTTTTTTTTACAACAAACCTTAACAGGGATATGAGGAAGTAGGGCACAGTTACTTTGCCTTCAGATCTCAGAAGGTCTGTGGTATATAATTTTCCAAAGTAAGGAACACACCATGAAGTGCACACCCTATATCCCTGGTGTGCAAACTGCAGAAGCTTCCCTCAACCAAATATCACTCCAAATGGTAAAGAGAGCAGGTTAAAAAAAAAAAAAGAATCAAAGAGAAGTAGTATGAATAGCAAACAAGCTGAAATAAAGTAAAAAGTTCCAGAAACAATAGAGTAACAAGCACCAGATTTATTTACCTGCTGAAAAAAAAAACAATAAAAAAATTAGATAAAATAAATAAAAAATAGTCTGATATTGGACAGATGGTACAGAACTATACCAAGTGAGGAAACAAATAAGTTAAACCCTAAAATTGACTTGCCTTAATAAAATTTTCTGATCAAACAATATAATTCTTTGTTTTTACACATAGAAAAATCTTACACTGAATCTGTTGGAAGAATGAAATATAAAAGTTTTTAATGTGGATATAAGTCTCATCTTACCTGTAATAAACTGACTTTATGTTATAGCTATGTTCATAAGTATTATAATTTAAGATACCTGTTTTTTCCTAGGTCGCTGTTTTTTAGGAGTTTTGGGTTGTTTGTTTGAAACATATACTCTCTTGCTTTCAGTGATTCTTCTGTTTTCTTCTTTTTCCTTTCCAC